TGTCGATCTGATGAGTCCCTTTTCAAATGATTTTTACCGTTAGTTCTTATGTGGTGCTGTTACACCACTGTCCCATGTTAAGGGAGGATTGTACACTTGCAAACATGCTAAACCCGCTACATTCTTTGTGTGCTTGTCCCAAGTCAGGAACCTGTAATTCAGTGGTTGTCGTTTGTTGCTGTCTGTCGTGTTTGTTTTTCGTGTATTGTTTTGTTATAAATCAAGCCGTTGGTTTTATCGTTTAAATAGGTTTATATTTTGTCATGTCGGGGGCCGTTTGTACCTGACTTTAATATATGGGTTATACTCAAAGCTTACATCGACGTCATTTGTTTTCTGGTGGATAGTTGTCGTATTGGCAATCATACCACATCTTTACATTTTTTATATTGATTGCAGGGTGTGTTGCTCGGGTTGTGTGGATAAAGTATAATTTCAAATAACACTGTTCGGTCATCAATGAAAGGGAGAGCTTTTTAACTCTCCTTTTCCTGCAACAGAACTTGAAAAACCCAAAGCCTCATTTATCTTGTTACTTGGAAAGTGTGGTATACAACATGAAGAACAAACTGGACGGAAATTTTTTAGGAACATCTATTCTATACTGCTTCCGAAAACCTAAAATACTCAAAAAGTGTGATTTACCAGCGTCTTGGAAAACACAAGCACAATATTTAAATTTTTAAAATACTCAAAAAGTGTGATTTACCAGCGTCTTGGAAAACACAAGCACAATATTTAAATTTTTAAAATTCTAACCACAATCATATAAATAATTCGAATATTTTCGAACTGTCTTTGATTAAACGACTACAGTATTATAGAACAATAACGGTCAATAGAACTAACGACACGGGAGACTCATATACATCTTATTATGCTTTCTTAGTTTTAACTTGTAAATAAGTAGTATACAAGAAATTAATTGTCAATTGTAACAAGAAAAGAAGACACCTAGGGAGCAATTGAAACCATCTTATCAAAACAGACCGTTGGACACTATGGCCAAAACGACAAACGTCGAAAGGACAAACAATATTCTCAAACTATACAGAATACTGGAGACTGACAGCAACATGAATACTATCACAAACCGGAGAACGAGCTCATGTGCTCAGGAAGTTAGCAATTCCGGCTTCATTGTTAAAACCTGGTGTATTGAATTAATGAGTGCAACAGTTATCGAATATCAAAACTGCATGGACGTGTTAATTCCAGATCTTTGATTGTTTCTGCTTAATTTATTCCCAATTGTTATGGACGATTAAGAGCTAGATATATTGTAAAGACACGTATAGATATTGTTAAAGACTGACTGTTCCCTCTAAATGCCTTTTGGTTATTTTTTCGTTGGGTTGCTGTCTCATCTCCTTTTATTCATAGAAACAATATATTATCTAATATATAATCTATCATAATATTGTTGTTTTTTAATTTCAATTCGCTAATTTACAGTTTAAACCAGGAATAAATCTGTTTGCTTTTTTACTAAATTGAAATTCTATACAGATTAAATCTGGTCACTGAACAAGATTATGCCTTCCTGTACATCAGTCGATGTGATTGTAGGATTTAATATCATCAGGTTAAATACTTTGATCTTGCTTTCAGTTACTGGAATGATTCTCTGATATAGTCTTGTTTATCATTGTTATGCTTGTACTTCTGCTTTTATACTGTTATTATAGAGTTAAGTGCTTTTTCTATACGAATTTTTAATCAGTATCCTTTTTTTTTGTAAGGGTTTTTGTCATTAACATAGGTTATTGTTGATGGTTTGATAGTCTCTGAGTCTCTGAAATCTTTTCTAGACTGGGGGCAAATAAGAGGTTTATATATTGTATCGACGCTTGTCAACTGTTTAAGACTAAATGCTACTGATAGATTTCTTTTCGTTCTTGGCTCGTTTGTTTGCAGTCTCACTTATATATCCCACATCTCCTTTTATTCATAATTAAAATAGATGTAGGGACTTGGCACTAGCAATCAAATATGGAATGACTTTATTTATAAACACCAGGGTTTACAAATATATTCTTTTAACATACCTGTAAAAAAAATACATCAACTAAAATTATTTTCTCTGGGGATGTTTCATTATGATACTAACATATATATATATATATATTGTGAGGTTTAAACAATGAAAACGGTTACTCATACAGTATTAGTTATTTACTGAATAAAAGACACTGTAATATGTTTCTGAAAGTTATAAGACATATGATTCAGAATAAATTACTGCTTCACAAAAGTACAAAGATGGCAATATGACCTGACATAACTCATAAAATGTTTTTGGTTTCTCATTAAAATTCATTAACATCTTTGTCCTTGTACCTCTACCATTTGATAGCAAAGGTATACTTGGTACACTTCATTTAAAACCACCCGTGCAAAATCGTGCATAAATTGAATACAACTGCACCCATTTATATCTTTACCAATTATATTTTCGTATTTAATTGAATTACTTATTCTTAAGTTCAATTTCATACTCAAATTTATAGGTAATGTTAGTGTTGTTGAATCTTTTCTCTTTTATGAAAGCTTAACTTAACTCATATTTTGTGTGAATTAGGTCTCTAACTTCCACATAAGTAGCTTTTCTTAAGCTAGTATTCCTTATTTTTGGGGGGTTTCTAATACCACCCATAAAGTTAAAATTCTGAAACTTTCTTGAATGGTTAAGATTTTGAATGAATGTTTAAGGGTAGATTAAACCACAAAAGCTTTTGTCATAATGTAATTTAGTTCTATAATTAGGTAAGGAGTTTATATTTTTTTAAACAGTTGCTGCATCTGAGTAATCAGTCTGATTTCAGTTTCCAAGTCAACATCTGACTGCAATATAAAGAGTTTACCTACTTTTAAACTTGTGTATTTAACATGTAAAGTTAATTCATGTTGAGATATACCGCTTAGCACGTTATCCTGATTTGGTATATCTAATTTACACCATATTTTGTTAATGCAAAATGATAAGTTTCAATAGTTTAGAAAAGGGCAGGAGTTTGACCTTATTTTAGGATAAAGCATGAAAAATTTCAGAATACCCAATTAAATATAATGACATCAAGGTATAAATAGGTCTATACCAGTTGATAAGAAATTAATAGATTGCTTTCTGTAAGTTTTATTATTCAATTGAGATATTTTTTATAAGTGGGTGAACTGAATATGTACCTTTATACATACAGCTAAATTGTATTGTACAAAGATGTGTAAAGTTATTCATGCTTGTGTGGTAGAACAAATTATTAGGGAGGATTAAAATTATTAAATCATTCAGTGATATCAATCCATCATCAATGTTTACCAATGTATACAAATTTTTATAGTACTTTTCAACAATTTTAACAAAAAATATATCATGGTGCACGTTGTTCAAGGCTGGTGTATGAATATCATATAATAAGCTTTCAATGCAATGTAGTTATTGATAACTAAGTGCTTTGAGGTCCTATGAATTACATATGCAGCACATGAAATCATACTTAATCCGAAGAAAAATAGGGAAAAAAATAACTCACCGATATGATCGACACAACAATATGATCGTCACAACGATATGATCGACACAACGATATGATCGTGACAACGACATGATCGACACAACGATATGATCGTCACAACGACATGATCGACACAACGATATGATCGACACAAACTGCAAAAGGAGATGGACTGAAATAGTGGAAACGAAATCTACACTTGAAATCTATGTTTAATATTATTTTTGATATTCAATCTAATTTTCAATATTCAGAATTGATTTTTACATTGTCATTTACAAACTTGAAATCATAATTTTCAAATCAGGCTATTTGCACTGAAATCGAGTGGCTTGATGGATGAATGGATGGGCCTTTACCATCTGTATTCCAGATCATGTTAATGTGATATGCAAATTATTTCATACTAGATTGATACACTCAGTCCAATTGTGCATACTAGTTTCCAAGGTAACAATTCAATGGATGACATATAACCATATCCTTGCATGTTATTCTGACTTGCGAGTTGATCAGGTTCTGCTCTTTCTCCTTAATGACATGGGCTTAAGAGGAAAAGCAGCAAAACATATTATAAAATATTTGGATTGCTTCATACAGGGATCCAAACCAAACCCTCTAGCTATCAAGGCAAGAAATAGGTAACAGAACCAACAACAAGAGTGCACATGCTGAAAAGTCTCACCTGTTTTACTTATGATTGAATTCATGTTGAAAGTCTCTAATATGAAGGTTTTACTACAAGTATCACATAAACTTTACATTATCAATGATCCATGAAAATGAAATCATGGTAAAATGAACCATGCCAGACAGACATGTACACCTAACAATTATTTCATACACCAAATGTAGTTGACCTATTGTTTATAGTTACTGATAAACTGACATAACCACACAAACCTATCATTGACCAATGAACCATGAAAATGAGGTCAAGGTCATATGAAACCTGCTATACAGACATGCAAACCTTACAATTATTCCATACACAAAATATACTTGACCTATTACTATTTATAGCATCCGAGAAATAGACCAAACCACAAAAACTAAACATTGTTCAATGAAGTCAAGGTCAGATGAAACCTGCCAGTCAGACATGTACACCTTCCAATCATTCCATACAGCAAAATAGTTGACCTACTGCTTATAGTATCTGAGATACAGACTTCACCACATAACTTTAATCTTGATCACTGATCAATGAAATGAGGTCGAGTCATGTGAACCCTACCTGACAGACATGAAGACCTTACAAGGAACCCATTTACCAAATATAGTTATCCTATAGAAACTTGTAACATAAGGTATTTGTATACAAGATATGAAGCATCCAGGTCTTCTAGCTTCTGAAATATGAAGCTTTATACAAATAGTTTATGCCGGTTTGTAAATCATATGTCTTGCATTCTGAGACTTTCTTCGCAGGCGAGACAAAAATTAATGAAACCACTGGAATATAATTCAAATAAAGCATGGACATCAGTTTCTCATATTTTATACAACACTGGCTTACCTATAATAAACATTATGCAATACCTTAAACATTTAACATTTAAATTTGTATTCTAGAATATATGTTCTACACTGACATTCACTTCATAAACTTAGTATTACTAAGCTGATTGGAATAAAATGCAATCTAATATTATTTTTGAAAACTACTCCAAATAACCTACAAAAGAAACATCATAGATGCAACACATTACTTTTTTTTTACAAACAATATGCAACATAATACTTTTTTACAAGCAAATAGATTAATAACTTAACATGACAAAATACCAAATCGTTCATAAGGTTTATTAATCTTATTGTTGTCTGTATAATGTCCAGCGACTAATGCCACATTAATATCAAAGTGATGAATTACACTACTTCATGGTTGATATAAATTGTAGAAACCTTTGGGAAATTAAGTATTATAGCTTTTTTTATGTTTTTATAAATCTATATTATTCAGAAAACACAGTGCATTTGTGAAGGAAAAAATATGGAAGAATTAATTTTGTTGTTTCAAAAAGTTACATTTTCATGTACCAATATGTGCTTAAAATGTTCTTTTTTTAAAACTAAAAATCTTATATCTTTGATATTTCAAATGTAATGTTTAAAAGAAACAAGACTTGTAATTGGTGATAGAAGTCTATCAGTTTGACCCACTACGTAATGAAATGCAACATCCACTTTGAACATCCTCTTTCTAACAATGATGTATCACCTCGGAGCATGCCTGGATTGATTGATTTATAATTGGTGATAATGCTTCTTTCAGCACACTTGGCTCAGTCATGGTGGTACGTTTTATTGATGGACGAAGACAGAGTACCTGAAGAGAACAACTGACCTACATCAGGAAAGTAAGCCTGGAAATGTCACATAGGTTTAAGGGACAGCAACCTCAACAGTGATCGTCATGGATTTCTTTTTTTTTTATTCTATGAATTTGGTGCTTTTGCTCTTTAATAGTCTGCTAATCGGAGCAATTTAAAGCCTGAGAGAAATACTGTCCCAGTGGTTTGAATATCTCAGCAATGACACCATTTAATAATCAAACAATTTATTGAAGCCACAAATATGCTTTATGGTTCTATTACAAAAAAACAAAGCAAGCTTTACCTACTGCATGAACCAAGTATTTTCATCTGTGTGAACCAAATAAACCTCAAGCATGAATCAAGTATTCAAATCTGTGTCCTAAAGCATGAATCAAGTTTTTCCATCTGTGTGAACCAAATAAACCTCAAGCATGAATCAGGTATTTCCATCTGTGTGGACCAAATAAACTTCAAGCATGAATCAAGTATTTCCATCTGTGTGAACCAAATAAACCTCAAGCATGAATCAAGTATTTCCATCTGTGTGAACCAAATAAACCTCAAGCATGAATCAAGTATTTCCATCTGTGTGAACCAAATAAACCCCAAGCTTGAACCAAATATGCTTTAATAGCCCTAGATTTGTTCTTGTCTTTTCATCTTTCAGTCATTTTCCTTTACATATGCGTTTATCACTTCAGCCATATCAGCTATATCAGGAGAGAAGATCTGACAGCATCCTCCTATCCATGTAGCTCCTAAACCAATCCACTCTTTGATCTTTTCTGGTCGTAGGGGAGACGACTCTGCTCTACCATACCACCTTTGAAAAATATAATTTATGAGTACTAATGAACAACAGGAAAATAATATATAAACTAGAAAACTAACATGCCAGGAAGGGGCCCACTTCAACATTTTTGTGTTTGGCACAGAAACAAATAATTAATACTCATGCAAACAAAGTAATACATGTTTTCATTGGGATATCAATTTTTGATAAATTTTAACACCAGGAATTAGTTAAAAGGCATTTATAGTTTCTTTAAAAATAAAATTGCTATGAATTTTCAATGTATTTTGGAGACCATTTCAAAATTCATTTCATAATTTTTGACACAGGGATTCAATTGGGAATAGCAAATAATGTTATGTAACAAATTTCAATCAAATCCTTAGCAGAAAAAGAAATTCTCAAAATTTGTGATATTTTAACATAATCTAAGTTTTTTTTACCATAATTTTCTCCCTCCAATTTCACAAATTGCAAATTTTGACACAAGGAATCAATTTCCAGAAATATATTTTACCTAAACAATAAATTTCATTGAAATCCTAGCACAAAAATCACAATTTTTTTTTACTGCAATTTGTTTCACACATTTCCCACAAAAATGGAGGGATGCCTTTCTTTTATAGATATAAACACTTTGCATAAATTTTATTGAAATCAGTTGAGACAATCTTGACTTACAACATAGCAGTGATAATAGATGGACAGACAGAGTGATTACTATAAGCCAACGCAGACTAGTTTACATGGGCTTTAATAAAGAGATATAAAGATATGTAGAAATAAGTTAGGTAAGATAAAAAGTTAATATTGTTCAACATAAAAGTTAATAAGTGAAATCAAAGCCATATCAAATGATGTGTCAAGGTCAATTGAACCCTGTTTAACAGACATGTGTACCTTGCAATGATTCTATATACCAAATAAAGTTGTCCTTTTTACTCCTAATAACTGAAAAGATCAAGTGATAAAACAACTATGGGTATACAGTATTTAAAGTTGTCATTGAACCATAAAAGGAGGTCAAGGAAATGTACACATGCCTTACAAAAAATTCAGACATGAGGCATCAGTAAACCAGATATAGATTATTCAGCTCTTCTACCTTCTGAAATGTGAAGCTCTATAGAGGAAGCCTAGGTTGTAGACCAAATTTCATCCTGAAATGTCTAACATTCAAATAAGGTTACACAAAAATGAAAGAAAAACTGGAACAGGCCAGGGAATTAAATGATTTAAAGTACACTAAGAAAAACCAAAAGACATGTTCAGGATAAGTGTATAAGGATGGTTTTAATACTTAGACATAAGTATTTTCCAGTGGCAGTGTATAATTCAAAAGATTCTCCATTGACTTGTTTGAAGACTACTACTAGGGGGTGTTTAATGACCTTGACTACCCATGAGGGTCTTGCACGGTTAGTAATCATCTTTTGTTTTAAGACATTTTATGCAATTATTTACATGGAATTATACATATTCAAATTCAGAGGTGATTCAAAATTGAAAAATGAAAATGGCTCATAAAGAAATGGATATGATTAAACATGTCTTATCAATATAAAGGCTAAGTTGTTAAAAATGTTATACCCTTTTTCTGTAGACCAATCTTCTCCACTGTTAGGTTTAATCATCACTGGTTTCGTTAAGTTTAAATGTTGTATACTTTTTAATAAGGGGGAGATAAATTTTGGATGAGTACAGTTAATACCAACAGCCACAACATTGTTGCAGGATACCACTTCCTTCACTGCATCGGAGAAAATTTCACCATAACCTGTATGATTTTCATCCTATTTTTTTAGTGAAAAAAAAAAAGAAATACATTTAACAATATATTAGATAGTAATCAAATGCATGCATGCTAGATACATCTGTAAAAATTATTCATTATTGAAGCATGATTTTTAACAATTCAGCTTTTCGTATATATTTCCATTATTTTTTAAATCATTTTCACTGTGATCTCTGTCTGCAATAAATGTGTCATATCAATACATCCTTAAAACATCAAATGAGACCTAGAGTACTATTTATTATTTCCTTTAAAACCATCAAATCTGGAGACTGTCTTGAGCATCTTTTTTTTCTCTATTATATCATATTTTCTCCAAAAATATTTAACATAGTTCTTTAAAATATCTGGAATTATATAAGAAACTTCATTTTTGTTGAGCCTGCAAAATTTATTTCGCGAAAGCGAGACATAGTGATCCTAGATTCCGTTGTCGGCAGCATCAACATTTAGGTTCAGTCTGTGGTTAAAGTTTTTTTAGACATCAATTACTTTGTCAAACCTACATGGAGTTTTATGAAATTTAGACAGAAGCTTGTTTATGACCAAAAGACAGTATCCAGAGCAATATTTTGAAAATATTTATTTTCATTTTTCTGTATTTAACTGATAAATGGACTTCGCTATTTTTACAGTTAACATTCAGATTTAGTCTGAGGTTAAAGTTTTTCAGTCATACCTTCATGGAAACTTCTTAAATTTGGACAGAAGCTTGTATATGACCAAAAGACAATATCCAGAACAAAATTTTGAAAATACTTATTTTAATTTATCCGTATTTTACTGATAAATGGACTTCGTTTTTTTTAACAGTTAAAAAGTAGATACAGTCTGGAGTTAAAGTTTGTTACAAATCAATAACTTTGTCAAACCTTCATAGAGTTTTATGAAACTTTGGCAGAAGCTTTTTAATGATTAAGAGATAATGTCTGAAACAAACCTTTGAAAATATATTTTTAATTTTTAGTATTTTTCTGATAGATGGACTTAGTTTTTAACATTTACAGACAGTCTGGGATTTAATTTTATTCACATGATAAATTTGTAAACCTTCATTGGATTGTTATGAAACTTGGACAGAAGCAAATCTTCAAGACCAAGAAATTGCACTTAAAGAAAATGTTTGAATTTTTAAAAAAAATCTGTATTTTACTGATAAATGGACTCACTTTTTAAGTCAACATTACACTTTTACACTGACAGCAGCAATCGCAGGCGAGACACAGGGTTCCGTGAAACCCCATACAAATTTTTATTAATAAGGATGTATGTTAAATTAATGGAATGTTTTTCCATGTCGTTATCTTTTCTTCTCTAAATGTCAAGTAAAACAGGACTAATACATTTACAGATGTTAAAGAATGTTTAGCTTCACATACTTTGCATGTATATGATATCCAAGCCTTTACTTCTGGAAATTCTTCTGCTAATAAATATATTACTGCTTTTGCCTCAATTGATGAAGGAATTGTTTCTAATGCAATATAATCGGGTTTGGCCTCAACTAATGCTTTTATTCTTGGTCTGTGGCAGTCTTTAATTTCCTAATAAAAAAAACAGAAATAAATAAACAGGCATTCTTGAACTATACAGATTCAACATGCAATTTCGCAAAGCTTAGAATTTTCGGTCATATTTAATTTTTATGATCAATTTTGCCCTAAAATTGTACTTGCTCCTTCAATGCCATTTTTTTTGGGTCTAAAATTCTCAAACAAATTTAATATGCATTCAAAAATTATGTTTCATTAGATTATTATTTCAAGATATACAAAGAATTGTTTTCATTGGTCTATTAATTTTACCTGAAAAAAAGTAAAATAAGAAATTTCATTTCATACAATGGGAGGCAACTCTTTTTTGATTTTGTTGACTGATAAGTAACTTATGTTTTTGTAGACCTTAGCAGAGACATATATACACATGTGTATATATGTCTCTGACCTTAGTATATGGAAAGACAATTTGGACACACTATAAATAATAAATATATTGTAACATCAAAATAACCAGCCTGTATAGCTCAAATGGGATATATAAATGCAAGAACCCTTCGTGAACAAGATCACCTACCCCACATAATTTGTATAAGACATTTTTACAAGTCAAACTCCTGCAAAAACACTGTCACCAATTCATCAAAGTAATCAACAATAATATATCAAAATTTGAAAAGAATTGGTTGAACAGTTAATCAATTATTGATCAGTAACCACATTAAGTAACACTGTCCAATCAGTTAAGGACTATAACTCCGTAGTGGCAAAAGAGAAAATCTTCAATATCAAAATTGACCTCCATTTTGTCATCAGTAACAATATATTGAAATTTGAAAAGCATTGGTTTGAAGGGGCATAAGCTGTCAAATTCAGGTCCACCTATTGGACTCAAATTCTTACATTCGACTTATAACATACTAAAACACATATCCAAATTATAAAAAGTCTACAATAAACAATTTAAGATGCATAGACTCGATAATATTTTTCATGAACATGCTGCATTTACCTCAGGATAGTTCTATTTAAAAATTGAACAGCATTCCAATGTCCCCCACAGTTGCATATTTTCAAACTGTCCAAGGGCAACTACCCCATTTTTTTTTTTATTTCTTCCTAAATAGTCTTTAAGAAATGAAGACATCAGATTGCTAAAAATGTTATTTTCCAAATAACTTCTATTTCCAAGGGGAATAACCAAGCAAAAATAATTGGTCTGCACTGTTCTAAGATCTTTTTGGTATATACCAATAACATATTTTTTTTTTAAATCCGAAAGGGTAAGAGTGCTTTCAATGCAATATTCAATATAAATTACATTTCAGAGGAACTGTACAACTGTTAAAATAATTTATCGGCGCTGATTTTCTAACTCATCCCAGACAATGCTGATATATCCCTTTGGTGTAAATTTTATAACAATCCTACACAAAATGTAGCTGTGAGAGTGCTTACAATGTAATTTTCCATATAAATTATTTTTACAAGGGGAAAACATAACTGCTTTAAAAATAGTTGATCAGCCCGATTTTTTAACTGTTTGCATACATATGCTGATATAAACCTTTGATGTAAAATTTATAACCATCCTACAAGAAATGTAGGTGTGAGAGTGATTTCATTTGCAATTTTCCATTTAATTTATATTTAAAAGGGGCATATCTCCTTTATAAAAGTGTACCAAAAATGTCTATTTGTTTTCTTTCAGCATGTATAAAAATTCAAAGTAACAGCAAACAGGAAAAGGTGTCCTAGAGATCCAAAAAGGTGCTCAAAGGTTACAAGTTACAACTGTCAAGCTGCTGACTAAATGTGAAGTCGCTCCTGAAAAAATGTGACGAAAAAGTTTGTTGGACTAACAGATTGACAAGGTGATTGCAAAAAAGCTCCAACTTTAAGAGCGGTGGCATAAATTATTTTCGAACAATACATACATCTTGTTTATATTCTTAAATTCAATGTACATCCATTATTTTTTGGTGTTTACCCATCCTGCTCTTGTCCATGCATATTATTAGAAAAATTAGATGTGTCGGAACGATGAAATGGCCCTGCTCGCAAAAAGCTTGAAGCCATTTTAGGAGTGAAAATTTGAGAATGAAAGTCTGTATAACTGTCGTTTTCATGAAATTTTAAAGTCCAGAGCCCGTAATTTCGGCAAAAATCAGCAGAGAAAAACTAAACATAAACTCAATCTGTAACTCATCATAGTAGACCCACATACTAAAAATCAGCACAATATGTAATGTTGTTTAGAAAAAAGTCTCTTTTGTTATTGTCACATAATTTTCAAAGTCCAAAGCCCGTAATTTCAGCCAAAATCAGCAGAGCAGAACCAAACGTAAACTTCATCTTTAACTCATCATAGTAGACTCGCATACTAAAAATCAGTCCTGCTCAATATGTGAAGACGTTTAGAAAAAAAGTCTGTATAACTTGATACAACAATATCATACAATATCAAAATAAGGAGATGTGGTATAATTGCCAATGAGACAACTATCCACTGGAGTTCAAATGAAGTGGATGTAAGCAATTATAGGCCACAGAAAGGCCTTCAACAATGAGAAAAACCCATACCTCATAGTCACTATAAAAGGCTCCGACATGAAAATGTGAAACAATTTAAACGAGAAAACTAACAGCCTAATTTAAATCAAGACAATTTACCAAAAACATATATGACAGACATGAACCAAAGAAAACCAATAAACTAAAGTTACCTGACTTGTGAAAGGCACATAAAGAATGCATAAATACAAATGTTTTGCCCAGATTCAATTATATTAAAACAGGTGACTTGCGAATAAGTTGGTGCACAATGGCTTAAATAAATCTACAATGTACCTGAACAGACATTTTGTCAATATAAGTTCCTGTATATTCTGATCCATCGTGTAGTATAGCACCATAAGCTCCAACTGATCCAGCTATCTTTGCTTTGTAACCTTAAATTAGTAATATTGAGAATTTGTCTATAAAGTCAATGGTCACCATAATACAAATAAAAAAATAAAAGTAGGGTAACATTGGCCAATGCTGTTTTAGTCAATTTGTGATCATTGTGCATTGTTGTGTTTATGATAAATATTATAATTACCAATTTCATTTCATTTAGATATGTTGCAGTGTATTTTTGTTTGGGAGCTCTTGTTGCTTTTAAATCCAATTCAATTTTCGATGCATGTTTTAGTAGGTTGTTTTTTAAAAAAACTTGCTGGTTTAGTTCAATTCTACTTCATTTTTGTTTAAAACTTTTATAAAAATAAGGATTGATTGATTGATTGATTGGTGTTTAATGCCACTTTGAACACTATTGTGCTATTTTGTGGCAGTCAGTTTTTATTGGTGGATGAAGCCGGTGTGCCCGGAGAGAACCACCGACCTTCAGTAGGAAAACTGACAATCCTAGTCAATTAAGATTGGATTTGAGTGCACCTGCCACGTGCGGGATTCGAACTCACAACCTGAGTGTTGACTGGCTAGTGATACAGTAGTTCAACTACTTAGACCACTCGGCCACCGAGGCCCCTATAACTTGTCCACTGTTTAACAATCAATTAAATAAATGCACACAAAAATTTCTGAATTTAAAGTATTCAGTAAATGACTGAAATGATATCCATAAATATTTTTATTTGGCAAACTATCCAATAACTGAATTATGAAGGTTAATAACCTTTACCTTGTATGCTTGGTTTATAACATTGAGCCATACTGAATACTTTAACCAAGAAGTAAGAGAAGTGGCACTCAAATATAGGTTTCTTAATTTAGTACAATCAGTAATTAAAGATTCCACATCCTACTTTTGTTTGTTTCACCCTAAGTGATACAAGATAACATAGTAAATGTTGCTTTGCCTTTTGAAATATTTTGATACTGGTATTTTAATTTAAAAGTATTTTCAAATTTCAAAACCTCACCTGACACTTTACTAGCCTCTTCAACTGCTTGTTGTGCAAGTTGAACACTCTTCTTAATCAAACTGTATGCCTGTTCTTCTGTCACCCCTGCATGTTTTACAAACCCTTCAATTGATGCTTGATATGATCCAGTCAGTATTATCTCTGAGCCAGCTTCTATAAAGCTAGAATAATGCAAAATGTATGAAGCCCTAAAATCAGCAGCTAAGACAAAATTGATATGCTTAACAATTTATTTACAGTATTACGATATTCATATTGTATGATAAAAAGCCTCATTTATACCATCATATTTTTTCAATTTATTTGTGGTTGCCTTCATGCCTATTTTTTTCAGTGGATTTTGATGAATTAAAAATTTTATGATGTCTATATTATCTTATTTTTTTATGTTTTTTGAAGTGCTGAGTTTATCATTAAAAAGAAATTTCTACAATAACTGCAATGGTTTGCTGCTATCAAATACCTTGCATAGATTACCTCTAGACACTTGAGGAGGTCTTGATCTTGTTTAACGCGTGGGATTTTTTGAGTCACTGCTGAAGGACTTCAAATATTTAAGATGATGAACTGCAATAAAATCGCCTCCTTTGATATATTGGTAATGTCTTAGTACTTGATGATTTTTGCATCATGTGTCCCAGAACCCAATTTTCTAAACCTTTTCTAATAGATTTCCTGAGTTGATAGAAAGGACAAAAAGTTCTACAAATGAACTTTGTAAGTTCAGGTCAAGAGACAACAACTGCTAACTTATAATAGAATTAATTATTCTTACTTTTTATGGCACTGTACAAATGATGCTGGGTTAGTTTGAAGAAGTCTGGCTGACCAAAGTGGATCTTTCTGTAAAGTAAAGTACTCTTTTAGTGATGTTTTACATAGACATTATAGAATGAAGCAAAATATGAATCCTGTCACAATTTTGTTTGAATTGTGATACTATATATCCTTATTGAAAGATAATTATGAATTAAATGTTTGGTTTACACAGCATGTTTCAGGAATATTCCTCCTAATTTACACTCAAGACCAAAAGTTTTGGAAACCAAATACATTTAAGTACAAAACATGCAGTGGCGGATTTAGATTTTGGGGGGCCACAGGTAATTGTTTTAATTTTCTGAAACATAACATACATTCAAATTTTATTATACCCCACGCAATTTTTGCGTCGGTTATAATGTTTTTTACCCATCCGTCTGTCTGTCTGTCCGTCCATCCGTCCTTCAGTCCTGTTCTTGTCATCACAACTCCTCTGAAACCACACAACAGAATTTTATGAAACTTTGTAGATAATAAGGACATACTATGTAGACGTGCATATCGACAGGAAATTATGATTCAATTTTTTTTCTAGGAGTTATGCCCCTTTGCACTTATTGGCCTCAATATACTACTGCAACAGTTTGTCATCGCAACTCCTCTGAAACTACACAACAGCATTTCATGAAACTTTGTAGATAATAAGGACATACTATGTAGACGTGCATATTGACAGGAAATTATGATTCAATTTTTTTTAAAGGAGTTATGGCCCTTCGCTTTGAACTTAAAATTTTTGCTATAATATACTAAGCGTTTGATGCTAGAGTAATCCCTATTCCATATTCCCAACATGAAGCCATTCAAATTAGGATTAATATGTGAAGGTAAGCATTTGATGTTATATTAAGATATAGGATTTTTTTTCAGAGACAAGTGCCTGTGATACAAATCCTTGTACTGATGTAGTATATATTATAGCCTAATAATAAAATTGTACACATAATTTTAAGAATTGTTTCTTATTTCTAATGCATCTCTAATAAATTTTAATAAATAATTACATATTCAATAATATTTTGTGGATTTAAAAGTTTAGAAACTGAAAAATAATTATTATGCGAATCTTTCAAATCTAAACCATAAGATTGGAAAAAAAATTGCCTTATTTAAGGCTTAATTAAATCTTTATATTTATCACAAGATATCAAAAAATGTTCTTCTGTCTATACTTTTAATGTGTATATGTCTCTGGTAACAACAACAACTATCTTAACTGTATATGGAAATGCAACCTCGATAAATTTGTTTCCAAATCTAGCAAGTTCCATTGATGTTCCACCATCCAGTATCGTTATTTTGGACATTTTTGCCTCTGTCTGTATCGATAATAAGTTTTACTTTCACTTTATGAATATGAATAGATTTCCGAATGAACTTTCGGTATTACTCGCGGATCCTCGCGGAATCTGTCGAGATTTGTCGACTGGGTGATTTATAGCCTTCCATCCTGGTCCATTCTTTTATGGCCTAATCGCAGTCTTATGGGTGATATTCATTATTGTCGAATGAATATGACCGGACGATACGGGCAATTTGGCAACTCGACAAGTATTTTTCAAGACATAAAATAAAGGTTGTAGTTACCGTGCAAAAAAAAACCAAAAACAAAAATAAAAACTGTAATACGAATAATAAACAATTAAAGTCGGCTTAGCCTATACAAACAAGGACATTGGCTAGAGGTATAGGGGGAGGGTTGAGATCTCATAAACATGTTTAACCCCGCCGCATTTTTGCGCCTGTCCCAAGTCAGGAGCCTCTAGCCTTTGTTAGTCTTGTATTATTTTTAATTTTAGTTTCTTGTGTACAATTTGGAGTTTAGTATGGCGTTCATTATCACTGAACTAGTATATATATTTGTTTAGGGGCCAGCTGAAGGACGCCTCCGGGTGCGGGAATTTCTCGCTGCATTGAAGACCTGTTGGTGGCCTTCTGCTGTTGTCTGTTCTGTGGTCGGGTTGTTGTCTCTTTGACACATTCCCCATTTCCATTCTCAATTTTACATAACATAAGCTCTACTGAGCTTTTAACCGACATACAAGACGCTACAATACAATGCATACGCATGCAAGTTACATAACACAAAATGAAGCACTATAATTAAGCATGGTGGTAATAAGCAGATTATAAGCATGATAAGCTAGGTAATAAAGCTAAAAGCAGACTAGGTATTAAACATGTTAAAACTAAAAGCATATAAAATGTTAACTAAGCATGATTAGAAAGCTGGTAAAATGCATAGCATAAAATATTTAAAATAGGATATGATCTAAATGGTAAAAATTTAACATAATATATTAATTGATAATCTGCACACGCTGTACACTTACAGTAATTTCCATTCCATGACTTTAAAATATTTTTGAACTGACTGAAATTAGCAATTTTTCTAAAATCATCAGATAGATCAATCCATATATTTACTCTGTATATTTAAAAGAGTTCTTACCATAGGTATATCTACAATATTAGAATACATGCATCTAAAATTACATTTACAATCTTTCAATACAACTAAATCATGTAAACATGGTGGTGACAATTATATAAAATTTTAAAACATTCAATAGCCATGTTACGCATACGTCTAATTTTCAGTGATGGAACCTTTGATCGTACAAGTAATTCATCATACGAACTAACATAAGTCTTCATATATAAATCGTAAAGTCCTTTCCTGATTTTTTTTTCTAATTTAGCTAGTGGTATTATTTTTGTTGCAAAAATGCCATGCCAAAGGACAAAAATAAAAATTAGATAAAATAAATGTGTGAAAAATGGTCAATTTATTTAATTTAGTAAGATAGCTACCAATGCTCTTTAAAACATTCAGTTGTTGAGATGCCACATTCAGTTGATGCTTTACTACAAATATTTTTAATGTGGTGATTAAGATTAAGTTGATAATCAATATCAATACCTAAAAGTTTGACAATCTCATCGCATGATATTTTTGCTGACTGTACATTAAAAACAGGCTTCTTTACAAATGTTTTTTTTCCAACTGCAATGTCTTGGAATTTATCAGGATTTGCCTGCATACGATTAGATTTAAACAAATAAATTAAAACATCACTTTCTCTTTCAAGTATACATAATAAATTTTCAAAATCGTTGTCAGCATATGACAGAGTAATATCGTCAGCATAATTATAAAGGGTTTCATATTCAATAAAATAGAATATGTTATTTATAAAAATATTAAATAATAGAGGTCTGAGGATTGAACCTTGGGGTAACCCTTTATGGATGTCATCCCAACTGCTGAGTACTCCCTGAAGTTTGATATGTTGCCTACGATCTGTAAGATAATTTTGAAGTAATTTCACTGATTTTGAAGAAAGACCATAGGCAGATAATTTACTTAAAAGAATGTCATGTGGTGGACAGTCAAAAGCTTTCGAAAGATCCATAAGTATTGACTGCCACATACATATTGTTATCCAGAGCTGTTTTTCAATCTTCAAGGAGTCGCAGAAAAGTTGTCTGACATCCATGAGCTTTTCTAAATGCACATGAAAAAGCATGAAATATATTTTCAAAAAAATTCAGTTAACTGGTCAGACATAACCATTTCATATACTTTTGAAATTGTAGCTAAAATGCTCACAGTTCTGTAGTTCTTTTTATCAAGTGGATCGTTCTTTTTGTGTAGTGGTACAACCTGAGCTTCTTTAAGTCTGTTTGGAAATTCACTTGATTCTATAGTATTATTTATAAGTGTTGTTATATGTTTGTTAAGTACTGGTGCACCAGGTCGTAATAACTTAGATGATATCTAATCTACTCCTGTAGCTTTTTTATATTTATCTTTTTCACCAGTTTGTCTACAGTATCAACATGCATAGGTTAAAAATCAAAAAGTTTATCATGTTGTATGTTAGCTTTAATTTTCAAAATACTAGGGTGTGTTTTTTCTTCAAAAATAGTACCTTTGCCTATGTCATTGGCAACATTAATAAAAAAAAGTATTGAAGTTGTCACACAAACTTCTTTAGTGTTGTTTAAAATGTTATTTTCTTCCACTAGTTAAATTTTTTGTTGGCTGCAGGTAGACTTTTTAGAGAGAAATGGTTTAATTGTACTGTAAAGTGTTTTGATTTTTGTCCTCCAGCACATCTTTCTTGAAAATAAATATTCACCGATTTTCTTTTTAATTTTGTGACCATATTTCTTTGTTTTCTATATGCTTCTCAAGTTTTGTTTGTTTTGTATATTTCAAATTTTGATCTCAAAATTTGTTTGTGAAAAATAGCTCTGTTCATGTATTCTTCTGGAAACTCACCTGTGAAACTATCTTGTATACGACTTGGTTGATTAACAGGCGACTCTCATTGCACTGTGGCTGCCAAGATTAAACCCTGCTATACAAAATAACGTCGTCGGCTGTCTTCAGACTTGTCAATCTCAACGTCCACCAGAGCACAATTTCACGTCATGATGTGGACAACAACAATAACGTGAGGGTACCCAAATTGCACCTATTTTGACAGTTTTTTTCACCTACGTTTGTTTATGATCAAGAAAAAAGTTTCCATTCTGTGTTTATTTTGTAGATGTATCCTTATTTACTATATAGTTCCACCAATTTAATTTTGAATCCATATTGAATCATAGAAAAATGGGCCAAATGATCCATGATTCTGTAACGAGGAGTACCCAAATTGCATCTATTCTTAAATTCACATCCGTAAAAATCGAATAAATAATGTTTTGTTTTATTTCTCCAAATATTTAGAGCAATTCGACAATAGTCCATGCTTACTGTTTATTTGCTAAGTAACATGTTTTTTTCTTCATCTATTGATATATACTGTGAACGTTTTGTGTTAAGGCGAAGTGTACGTAATTAACTACTCCACAGAATTTTTTTGAAATTTTACATATGGATTCTGCTTGTAAAAATACATCAGAAAATAAAACAAAAAAAGGGGGTAACCGGTTTCGTTTTTCAGATACAAGCTGTTGAAATTAACAGCATGATACACCAAAAATACAAAGGATATATAGGGAAAATCATAAAAATCGGCGGATATTTTTACTTTATCGAGATTTTCTAATTCGTTGGTCCACAAAATTTTTTTAAAAATCGTTATACGATTCAAAAATGAACGACGAATCCATTGGTGCAAAGAAAGTCCTTAGCAACCGTGCTAGTTTTCAAGCTATATCCTGTGGAAGATTGATTTTTAGCAGAAAAAACAAAAAAATTCGGCGACGTTATTGATGTCTACTGTAACGTCACCACAACTTCTACTCTATAACGCTATTTTACCGTACAGTGTCGTAACAAAATCGTGAGTGTGTATAACCCATTTTCATAATTATTTCAAATGCTCAAGCGTAATCAATTGATAAGGAAATAAACTGACTAATTTTTAAAGATATTTCTGCTGCTAAAAAAAAAAGCCAAATTGGCAAATAAATATACTGCAAGTGAAAGAAAGTTACTGTAAAGACTTTAACTCCATCTTTTCTAAATTAGACAGGGTTCCACATCTTTTTTGAAATGCTTGTATTGTTCTAATTTTTATGAATAAAATATCGAGTTTGAAATTGTCCCGGTTAACACAGCGTTGACAGAATTATTCTATACATATTTAAATAATCGGTTATACTATTGGGATCGTGTAAACACGTATTTTACTAAATTTTTTCCATCTTGTCATCCTCACCATTTCCGGCGCTTTCGAGGTATTGCGCACAAAACCCATTTTATTAAATAATTTGTCAGGTTCACATACGTGCACGTGACAAAACTCTGCAATTTTATTTAAAAAATTTCCTGTTTCGATCACTTTCCCTTTTCTTTAACTACACTGTCCGAGGTTAGGGGAGGGTTGAGCGCTCACAAACATGTTTAACCCCGCCACATTCTTTATGTGCCTGTCCCAAGTCAGGAGCCTGTAGTTCAGTGGTTGTCGTTGGTTCATGTCTGTCATATTTGTTTTTCGTAAATTGTTTTGTTATAAATTAGGCCGTTAGTTTTCTCAATTGAATTGTTTCGTATTTTTCATGTCGGGGCCTTTTATAGCCGACCATACGGTATGGGTTTTTCTCATTGTTGAAGGCCGTACGGTTGCCTATAATTGGTTACATCCACTTCATTTGAACTTTGGTGGATAGTTGTCTCATTGGCAATCATACCTCATCTCCTTATTTTTATAAAGCATGATATAATGTTTGTTGGAGTTTCAGTAACAAAGGAAATAACTTCTTGTACCATTATTTGTTAAATATCCACATGCATGACTCCCAAAAATAAGAAAACTGCATCTGTATATTATCTTGAGAATTCTTATGGCTGTAATAAGGTAAAAAAAAAAAGAACCCGCATATGAA